TTTTTGGTGACTTTTGGCCCAACAAACAGAACCCTGTGAGACAGAGGGCTCTTCCTAAACATATCATCCCCATGGTGAGGCATGGTGTTGGCAGCGTCATGCTGTGGGGATGCTTTACTTAACCTGAAACGGCGAAGAAACGGTCACAGTGAAAATGTTCATCTTTCACCTAGGATTGTAATATGAGCAGACGTTTGTTCATTTACACAAACTGATTGCGACTGATTCTTTGTGTTGCTATTTCACACAAAATCCAAAAAAAATCATTAACGTTTGCCACAGTAAAATTACTATTGAACGACATTTGTGTCTTCAAACTTTTGCATGATGTGGCTTTTTTACATACTCATAAAACTGTTGTGATAGATCTGCAATATTTGCCTAAACATGGGAAATCACTAACCTTTAAGTGTATTCATTCACTATGTTTAATGACTGAAAATGAATTAACTTGTATCATATATTTATAGGCAGTTGAAGCTTGCATGGAGACCAGGAATCGACAAACACTCTGACAATTAAACAAGTCCTTTCTAGGTGACCACCCCCCCTTTTTTTGGTAAACCAAACATCACAGCCAGCCATCCTGCACTCAGACTTTCACCAGTTTGCCTTGAAAAGGCAAAAATAAAGAACATTTTACATCCTATTATTTACACTTCTGTATACCCAAGAATATTTTTAATATTTTACCTTCACCAAAACAGCTGTTAGGATCATGTATATTGAGTTTAGCTTAGCTTTTGCTGGTCTGACTGACTGGAGTCTTGCCCTTAACACAATCAAGCCATTTTGGGATTAATTGAAATGGGGGCCGAGCCTCTGCATCGAACATTAGTGTCTGACCTCATAAATGCACTTCTGGAAGGAGGATTCCTTAAAAAAAACTTCCCTTAACCATCTGAAAATCCACCCTGGAACTACCATGTCTATCCTTTTGGTTAGAAATGGGATGGTACTCAAGGTAGTATGGGAAAATGTATAAGGGTTTTTTTTTTATTATGCTGACTTCAGTGTAATTTTTTAATTTTATTGTTACATGATTTACAAATGAAAACCCCTAATCCTTTTTTTTTTTTTAGGATCAGAGGTTGGTAGTAACCAGTTAATATTAGTTAGGTTTAGTTGAATAACCTTTAGAGGAAAAATTTTCTTAAGGAGTAGTTTTTGATTTGAAAAATATTCTTGTTTGAGTATCACTACCCTTGAGTAAAATTTCTAGTTACTTTACCCACCAACAGTTACTTTGGAGATCAGGCAGAGATAATCAGATCAGATTGTCAATGGAAGTTTTTATCCTTTCTTTTATGTATTTCCTGCTGTATTTTGTTTTTTAAGTTTATACTGACAAAAATATTATTACGAGTGTTTCTTTTGCCTGAATTTGTTATTTTATGTTATTTATTTGAATTTTTATGTTGTTTTATACTTTGAAATACACTGATTTGCACTGATTGCATTATTTTAAACATTAAAATTAGATCCTCTGAACCAACATTTACTCAGTACTTGAGTGGATATTTAAAAAAAATACTCTTTTACTCTTTAATAATTTCCTGGATGACTACCTTTCTACTTTTACTCGAGTAAAAAAAATGTTAAAGTAGTGCTACTCCTACTTCATTGTTTTTGGATCTCTACCCACCTTTTTTTTTTAGGATTTAGGACTTTTCTTTTTTCTTTTTCTTTTCAAAATGCAATAATAGAGAGTGGCCTGGCATACATCAGTTTGCCTACATGCACCACCCACTTTCTGATCCAAATATAAACCTAAGAAATGTTCATGCAGTCTGGTCCTTGCGATGCTGTATGCTAATTGTCTGCCAGTATTTTTGTCTGTGTTCTTACCAGTCTCTGCCTACTTTCAGACCTGTTGCATATGAAACGCAAACATTTAGTTTGGAACCAGAAATGTCTGCTAATGAGATCAGGCATGTTGCAATTAAAGAATAAGGCATGCACTTTTTTTTTTCCTACATAGTTTCCAGAAATAGAAGGTAATTTGGCGTGAGAAAGGAGACCTTTTCTTTCTTGTGTCGGCTTTTTTTGTTTAAGTATTAACAGACCACAGTGGACCGTTGTGAGCCATTCTTCATGTTTAGACAGTTTCCTTTAGCCGGTAAAGTCTGGACTTGGTGTGTGGCTGGAAAAGCCAACCATTGTTCAAACTGGAGTTAACTGTTTAATCCTTGTGGCTCTGTGGAGGTTTATCCTGGTTATTATCCTGGGTTATCTTAACTGCCGTTCAAGCTTTGCCTGAACCTGCTGTGACAGGTTACAGTGCTGCATTAGGCTCCTGCAGCTGCTACATATTCTGCTCCTCTGTGTCGCTTCTTTATGAGCTATTGTTCTTTAAAGCACGGCAAATGTTATTAGCTAATGAAATGAGATGGAAGGAAACGTTCTCGCTAATCAGGACCAAATTCGGAGCACACTGGAAATGCTGATGGGCACTAAGGTTTTGAGCCTGACAGGCTTTAATCTACTTTATCCTATTATAATGTTTTTGGTTCTTTTCTTCCTTGTTTTGGGGAAAAAAGGTGAAGCCAAACAGGAATTCCTGCATTCAAAGGAAAAACACACAGCCCCGAGCTGAGAAAACAAGACGGGGATTTTTTAAGGGGGGCAGGGGGGGATTTGTATCTGTGTTTGTGAGTGGAGGGAATGCACATGTGCATCACTATTTTCCAAAAAGAAGAGCAGTTGCTTTGTTCCTACTGCTGCATTTGACTCATGCGTGTCTTCTGCATGATATGCAGGTACAAGGGTCACTTCTAAGGGCTGGTGATTCCTCTCAGGTCAGATTAGAACCAGTTCTACTCATAATCTTCCATAAATAGTTGCTTTCTTTAGAGAGTAAATTAAATTGTATTATTTTTCATAGATTAACATGAAGTATGGCGTTAAAAGAAGGAAAAAATTCTTTACCAAATTAAATTAAAAAAAAACAAAAAAACAAATTTAATTTTAAAACATTTTTAGAATCCCCTTCCCTGTATGTTTAAACTTAGTAGAACTATTATGGGTGCTAGCCTTTGTTTTAACATGTAGATTATAAGATTATGTCAGATTATAGGGATAGAGTGTTTTAGAATCAAGTTTTAAGTCAAATTTGAGTAATTTGGTTTTGGTATGGTCTTTGACTATGATACCTTCAACGGGAAAATGCTTTTTATGGTAGATGAAAGCAGCCTCAAATTGTTAGTGTGAAAAGGTGTAACTTTTTGTATTTATAGTTTTATTGTCCTTACAATCCTTTGTCTTTATGGGTAAATTAGCCTTTAGTTCTGTTCAAACTGAATTAGGGACCTCCTATAGCCTTTTAGCAAAGACTTTCTCCTTGCTACATTTTTAAAAAGCTCAGATTTGTACAGCTGTTTTCTCCAATTTCTCATACCTGATGCATCTTTTCTCATCCTTGCTAGAGTTAATAACCTCTTCGCTGCTTCTCTCTCCTGCTCTTCTTGCTTAGACAGTCATTAAAGTATCGGTGGACGTTCCTGATTGGTGGATGTATACCGTAGTCGTGCTGTGTTTGTTTCATTTTTTAGATGGCGGATTAAACAAAGTTCAGTTAGATGTTCAAGGTTTCAGATTTTCTAGAAACCAAGCCTTCTTTAAGCTTCTGCAGCTCCACTGTTCTGCTGTCTTCCCTGGATTTCCCAATACTTTTAAGTTTCATGCCTGGATTAGTTGTGAGTTTAATACAGAAAGAGCTTATTTACAAATGAGGTATGTCTATAGGGAGATGGTTGCATTTTATTTAAGGTGAGGGGGCTAAATTCAAAGGTAGATCAAGGGGGATTAACTTCTTTTGCAAGGCACTACTTTTAGGGATAAAATGCGTTTTAACTGTGTTATTCAATGGTCTCAAAAATCAAAGCAGGTCTAATTATCCAGCTGTTTGCTGGTTTAGTATCTGAACATTTTGTTGGAAAAAAACATTTTAGTTCCTGCTCTTTGGCCGGGTATTTTTTTAAACTTATTTTCACCTCAACTTATCTTTTTAATCTTAGTTTCTCTTTAATCAGTTGGATTATGTTTGAAGTCCAAAAGATTTCCAAAGTAAGTAAGGATGTCTTTAAGCGGAAATGGCTCATTCAGGTGTGTGTGGGTGTGTGTGTGTTTGTGGGGGAAGGAGGACGGTGGTGGTCAGGTTTGTAGCATGTCTGCTGTTTCCACATGGAATTCATTACACCTCCGCTGGATGTTTGTTTTCTCTATTAATCCTGTTCCTCTATTATCAAGAGCTCAATCAAAACAGCCCCAAACTACTGCGCTGCAGGCGACCTGGCTTTCCACACATCCCCCTCCCCCCATACATCCTTTGCTGTAACATTTCTAAGCTAGATTTCCCTCATCAACTTAGATGCCGCTTTCATTTTTCTCTTGCTGTCATGTGCTGCAGCCCATGAAGGAAAGATTTTGGCTTTTTACAGCCCGGATTTAAACGCGCCTTCAGGATCTGGCAGCATCAGCTTGCTGTGTTGGGATCCCAGGAACAACTGTGAACTTTATATTGGCTTCTTTAATTGTTTTGGGGTTACACAGAAGCAAATTGTTTCCTCAGATGAAAGCCGGCAGAGCAACCATGCTACCAAGCACACATGTCTTCCATTTACCTGCTGGTTGCTTTAACCTTTCAGCAAGCCAGCTTGTGTGTTTTGATGTGCATGATTTACGCTGTCACCACTTTGTAAGATAACAATGTCCACATTAAAAAAAACAACAACAACAAAAGAAACCTGAAATAGAACAATATGGTGGCTTGAAACATCTGTTGCCTCACAGCCGAAAAGGAAGAAACATTTTTATTGGATTTAGAGATTTCAGAGAGTTAGAGGCAAGATTTCTGGTTAGAGGTTTTGCATTCTGATGCCAACAGCATTTCCTGATGTAATCTTGCAAGATGTGCATGTTTTTTCTCCTGATTTAGGATAGGCTCTTGTTAATTTTAAGAAATTAAACCGATACCTTTTCCTCTGTTTGTCTTCCTGCAGGCCACTCGTGCCACCCTCACCGCTCACTGTTCCTCCCTGGGTGACTCTCTGGGAAAAGAAAATGAGCTTGCCCTGATCATGGATGGCCAAACTCTTAAATATGCCCTGTCATTCGAGCTCCGCCAGGCCTTTCTCGACTTGGCTCTGTCCTGCAAAGCTGTAATCTGTTGCCGGTAAGCAGGAAATATTCAAAGTTTATTGTTCATTAAAAATAAAAAAATATATAGTAAGACAGGATTAAAAAGGAAACAACAGATTTTTCTTTAGAAGTCATGAAAAACTTTTTTTTTCAAATCTTTTGATTACTTTAGGATAATTTAAGGTCAGACAACAGAAAAATTAAACCTTTTCCATGTTCATCCTTTGTTACAAACCAATCCCACCCGTAGTGGGACCCTTTATACCATATAAACACAGCCAACAGCTTCATTTAAAGTTTCACTAGCATACAGCAAGCTTTACTGGTTTACATTTCTAATGTAAAGACAGAAAAGGCTTTTTTTTCTCATTCTTATCAAACTACCTCATAGCTTGTAAACAGTTGTTTTAAACCAGGTATCTCCAAACTTTGCGTCCTGTGTGTCCAAACATTTTATGCCCCTATGATCATTTCAGGTGGACCCTGTCAGCTTGGAAAGTTGATACAAATACACTTTAAAAACACATTCTAGGGTGTACTAATGCCTTTCAAAAATTATAAAGGTAAATCTTACCCCTAGAATCGAAAAGTTAGGTTGCAAAACATTATTTCAACCTTTGTTATGTTTTTGCTTTTATTTTTATTTGGACACAGGACAACAAACATCCAGTTAATTTAAGCAAGTAACTGACGTAGAGGAATACATTTGTTAAAGTCGGTTCCTATGGCTAAGTGGTGTAAAAACTTTTTCAAGTCTGTGTTTAATTTAGACATACTCGCTATGGCAACCCCTGAATAAGGGAGCAACCAAAAGGACAAAAACAAACATTTTTTTTATTTTCATTTTACCATTTCCTTGTCAAAATTGACATAATTCTTACCCTCTCTTTACCATGAGAAAGACTTGCTTAAAAAAAAGAAATGGGCATCTAAGTCATGATATCTATACTGAAGGAAAATGGGAACCAGTTCATCATTAGACATAATGATCAAATGAAAAGATTAACTAGCTATTGCAATAAAGGTTTCTGACGTGTTTTTTATTGGCATTTTTAGGGATCACAAAGATTTCATTATTGATTTGATTTAAAAAAAAAACAAAAAAAACATCCCCTGACTATTTCATACTGGGCTTTTTTCTACCAGTGAAGAAATGTACACACATTTGTAGTTGAATTGTACTATAGGGGAACATATCTGACAATAAAGGACAACTTTGAGATTTTACACATATTTACCAAGGTGCTTTTTATTTGCATATTTGCTCTTATTATAAACCACAGAAAACACTGTCTAGGACAGGCAGCCCCAAAGTCGGTCCTCGAACGCCGCTGTCCTGCAGGTTTTAGAGGTTTCTCTGCTTTAGCACAGCTGATTCTGATGATTGCAGTTCAGCAAAAGCCTGTTAATCAACTATAAATGTAAATCAGCTGTGCTGGAGCAGGGAAACCTCTAAAACCTGCAGGACAGCGGCCCTCCAGGACTGAGTTTGGGGATGCATGGTCTAGAACTGTGTTTTTCAATCCTGGTCCTCAAGGCACCCTGCCCTGCATGTTTTAGATGTTTCCCAGCTTTCACACACCTGTTATCAATTTATAGCAGATTCTCAGGCTTTGCTGAACTGCAATCATCTGAATCAGGTGTGCTGAACATCAGAAACATCCAAAACCTGCAGAGCAGGGTGCCTTGAGGACCAGGGTTGAAAAACAGTGGTCTAGAAGTTGATGTGAGTCACAGCGTGTCATAAAACTTATTACAAATAAGACCCTGAAGTAATTTACTTATAGAAGAAAAGATATGCTGTAGAAATAAAAAAAATCTGTTCTTGAATTTCTCAAACTAATGTAATACTTCAATAGACTGCTGTTATTTATTTGTAGAGTCTTACAAATGATTGTTTCTTGTGAAACAATCAAGTCAACTCATGAAGAAAAAGAAAGGGGGGGGGGCTTTTCAGGAAATCACAGCCCAGAAAAAAGTTCATATTTAGCAACAACCAGATGAAGTCATTAGTCTGAAAGTTAACCTGTAGTTTTATGTGTTATGACAGAAACAGGCTTTTACTGCATTGGTTCATTCTTTGCCACCAGCATGAGAGGATGAAATAGGGCACTGAAAGACTTGTCATGTTGCTTTATTAAAATGTCATCTCCTACACGCTGCCGATACCCCTATAATGAATCCCAGAACAGAGTTGTTTAACATCATACATTATTTCAAAGTATAAATGATCCATACAACTCAAACTCAATGTTTCCTTTTTATTTTAAACAGTCAGACCCAGCTGGATGTTAAACATAGGTATTTTTCAGTTGTCCATGTGTTTGTGTGGATTTGTATGTGTGTTTGTCCGTAGCCAGGAGGGACGTAACAGAGCCTCTCTTCCATATCCAAGCCATATCCGGACTTGGGTCTCATAGGCCTTGCAAACAGCCTCCAGCTTCCTTTCCTCTGTCTTTTTTTTCTCCCCTGTCCTTTTATCCCCACTAAAGTTTCTTGTATCTGATGAGAGCCAGGGTATTCTTATCTCAGTTTAACATAATAATCTCATACTTTTATTGGCATTAAGAAAATAACATCCCTTCACATATGAAGTTAGCAGATTGTCTTGATTTTTGATGTCTTGTGCGCCCTACAAAAACTAGTCATGGCTAATAACCTCTAACATTAAAGCGGTGTTGTTAGCAGCAACAATATTTTAAAAAACCTAAACACCCAGTGTACAATTACTACCTGTCTAGGTGCTTAACAAGCGGCACAAATTAAAGACTGCCCAGAAACACCTTTTAAAGCAGCATCTAATGGGATTTTGTTAGCTCCTGCTTTTCAAACATCCTGTGATGGTTAGCTTTGGCTTAAACTGAAGTCTTCAAGCAAGAAAGTGACACCATTGCTAAACAGCCAATACAATAATTCAATTTAATTCAGTTTATTTATATTGCGCCAATTCACAACAAGTCATCTCAAGGCACTTTACAGTTCACCAGATCATCCAGTCAAAGTTTTCTATCTAAAGAAAACCAGCTGATTGCACTGACTCGTTGACTCAAATACAATCCCTGACACTAAGCGTGCTTGTAGTGACAGTGGAGAGGAAAAACTCCCTTTTAACAGGAAGAAACCTCCAGCGGAACCAGGCTCAGTGTGAGCGGCCATCTGCCGAGGCCGACTTGGGTTCAAGGAGACAGTTATATAAGGGATACAATTATACCCCAAATTGATTTTGACACTGGAAAAATGCATTTAAGTCGATCATAACCCACTCAGATTCAGTCTTTCAAACTTCCTTTAGCGGCTAGCTGTGCTACAATGCTAGTTTTCTTTTACAATGTGAGTTTTTTTCAGCTGTTCATTTTAAGTTTCTTAATTTATAATAAAACTAGGCCTTATCCCCCTTTTTTTTAAATCACAGAATGAACAATAATTGTTTTTGCTAGATAAAGCTATCGATAGAGCAATCTTCAAACTAGTTTTTCACATGGTAAAAAAATACTTGGTGTATAATAAATGATCTCACAACTTAAAATCAAACTAAATCGCTGCATCCTGTAGTGATTAAGGTCTAGCAGACGCTGTCAGATTGTCATACAATTAGTTTTTATCTAACCTAAAATAAATTTAGACTCAAAATATAAAGCACAGCTTTCTATGATTTTAAACATGAAAACAAAATCTAACCAAAAGAGAAAACCAACATGAAAAAGTATCAGAGGGACAACACCGCTCTCTGCTTCCTGCCATACAATAGAGACACATCTAATAGGTTTTAGCTGTTTTGTTGAACCTAAAGGTTTTCTTTTTATATTTACCTTACACATCGGAATGATGGGGTATATCTTATAAGGTGTATTCAGCCTTTTTGGGCATCTAGAACTTTAGTCAAAAATGTCCCATTTTCCAAATTTCATGCAAAATATTTTTTTAAATACATTAGGGAATCTTTAGAAAACAGGAGTCCTTTAGGGGATTTACAGTCAATGGTCAAATTATATAAAGCTAACTTAAAAATTCAGCACAGAAGATTTGATACAGCTGCAGAAAAACATAACTAAATGGCTAAAGGATTTTTGGAGATTTCTGATGTGGTATTTATGAATAAAAAGAGCATACATTTTATTTCCAGTTAAATTCTCCTTCTTGTGAGACTTATCTTATGTACACAATGAATCAAAGAGGAATCTGTAATGTGGGTCTGTGAATGTGTGTCGATCTCTCAGGGGACCGTTGGGTCGAGTGTGCCCTGTTCGCTTGAGTTCCTGACTTCACTGTGCGTTTGTTTATAGGAGGACTTAGCCGCTGCTTATTTTCTGCTCAGTTCCACCGTGAAGAGCTTTCGGGGGCCTTTCATCTTCCCAGCTCCACTTTACACAATCCCAGACTCTGTTGGTCATGTTTAGAGGAAAGCTAGAGGCAGAGATGAAGAGAGATTTGTGGTCAGAGGCCAACAGATGCAAACGCCTGTACCTCAGATGGAGAAACAGGAAAAAAAAAACGTATCCCATCCTTCCTTAATGGCCTCGGAAGCCCGATCTGAGGTTTTGCTCCGGTTTTACTCAAGTGGTAGTTGGGGTGAAGCGGCTCATAACAGGTCTGTCAATTCTAAGTACAGTAAAACCACTTGAGACTGGTTTTTAAAGTTCATCTGAAGAATGATCCAAATGGATTTTTAGGGCTCGTGGGCTTCGTTAAAGTGTCGTCTGGTGATCATCCGTGCAGTATGCTTGTAATTGAATTTAGTAATAAAAATCATCTCATTTTGTTCCTTGCCATGTGATGCCTCACGCAGCTGCTTTCAATCTAATTTAGTAATGTCGTTATCACAGCACTGACAAACATGGAGGGGATTCACTGCTTTAGAGTACTTTAACAGCTCTTGTAAGAGAAGATCAGCTGCCTTTTTAGCCGATCTAAAGTTCTCTAACCATCAGCTGATGCATGACTGAGACCGGAGTATTGGTAAAGATCCACCGATCAAACAGTTAGCTGATTGAAAATTTGCAGATACGGATTTTAACAGCTGGCAATCCATCCATCTCCCCCCGCTTAGTCCTTGTCAGTGTCTCTGTGGTGCCGGTGCCTATCTCCGACATTCTATGGGCGAGAGGCCGGGTACACCCTGAACAGATCACCAGTCTGTCTCAGGGCAACATGGAAACAGACAAAGATGTACAACCATGCACACACTCACTCACTCCTAAGGAATATTTATATAATGCAAATTAACCAAATCAGTATGATCTCATATAGCAGTTTCCCCTAATATTGTTCTAGACATTTGCTTCTAGTATAAAGTTGTTCCTATTGACAGTTATAAATAAAGGTGTGGTTTATCTAATGTTTTTAACCTTTTTTTTTTCCTTATCCCCATCAGCATTTAATAATTAGACGTAAAAATGCTACACCCTACAATCTTTTTTTCCGTGTAGCCTCGAGAATAAATTCACTCTCTATCAGAACTGTGCATTATCATATACATGGGCTTGTCTCTGCCAACCTTCTGCATTTAAATCAAAATTATATATATATGTATCCATCCATTTTCCATCACGCTTATCCCAGCTGGAGTTGCAAGGGGTGATGGTGCCTATCTCCAGCTGTCAATGGGTGAGAGGGGGGGTAAACCCTCGACAGGGCGCCAGTCTATTGCAGGGCAACAGAGACAAACAGAACATGCAGTCAGGTCTTTGGACTGTTAGAGGAAGCCAGAGTACCCAGAGAGAACCCACACAAACATAGGGATAAAATGTAAATCCATTTATAAAGTGAACCCAGAACCTTCTTGCTACACTGCACCAATCTAACCTTGCAGAATACTACAGAGAGGGAAATTTAGAATATACTTTTTTTGTTATGTTACTCTTTGCACTAGCTGCAATTACCAACTTTTGCGTTAACTTTAGCGTTAACCTTATAACTGCAAACACAAGTCTTCAAAAAGTCTTTGGCTTTAATCTAGAATTTGGTATAAAATTAAAATGATTAAACTGAACTGCTTTGCTTTGTTCAGCTTGCATTAACTTTAAAGTTTCATATTTGTATCTGAAAAGGTTGAACACAAAACAACAAAACTGAAAGAGCATAAAATAAAAGAACTAAATGACTAGACAACATCAGAGTCCAGCTCTCTTAGACTTAGACTTAGACAGATTTATTTTGTCATTTTGTATACATGAGTGTATACAAAAGGAAATTTTGTGTAAAACAGCTCTAGACAATTTCAATTTTTAAAGGGCAGCCTTAAAAACAGTTGTAGAAAACTTGAAAACTGTTGTAGTTTCAATTAAGCAGCATTATTTATCCAAAGAAAAAAGTTTCCCTTCTAAAAACCTCTTAAAGCTTTTGTTTTTCCTATAAATGTGTTGTCTGAGTGTCATTAACCATGTGCATGCAACCTACATATAAGGATTAAAATTATTACTTTGATCTGTTTAAAAATTCATAAAATACAAATATCCTAAATTAAGACATGAGTTTGAGTTTTTTGTCATTCATCCTACTCAATCCTATTGTTTGTATCATATTTCTGAGATGGTTCCTCTTAGGAGACATATTTGTTTTTATTGGACATTTTTCAGATAGCTCATGATGAAACTCTTTTAAGAGTTTAGCTGGAAGTGACTGACACACACAGAGGGTATTTTAAACAGCTGTATGGACTGATTCAGCCCAGGGTGCAACTTCTAAGAATGCAAACACTGTGTGTGGGCCAGGATTGTTTTTTACTCGTGCAGCTTCCTCCCTGGATTACAAACCATTAAGCATGAAGATAATGTTTACTTCAAAATGAATAGTGAAAATAAATGTTGTATGAATTGCCTGTTCCAGCTCTGATTTCTAAAGGCCTCTTAAGTTAGTTTCTGCTTCTAAAAGGAAGTTGAAGAGATTCCAGATGCAAGACCGAATAATATGTTATTGATCTAGAGTTTCCTCTTTCAATCTGGTACCTATTTTTGGTGAAATTATTGAGCAAACCATACAGTTTCTCTTTTACTATGAAAGTGATTTTAAATGGTGTACATCAATCTTTGATTGCTAGGCAAAGATTTTTGCAGATCCACAAAATGCATGGCCTGATATACAGTTTTTTTTTTAAAGAATGCTCGTGAATAAAGTTAATCTTTTTTAAAAAGGCCAAAACATAGCAACTTGATTCACTAGAGATGTGAGAGCAATCACAGTAGAATTAGAAAAAGAGAAATCTGGAGCTGAGATTGGGCAGGAATTTGTTAGATACCATTTGATTTTCTTGATATTGGATCAGGACAACTCAGGACAACTCAAACTAAAAGCGTTCCTACCTCTTGAACTTTTTCCACGGAGCGCAGCATACCTTTATAAACTAGTTAATAGCTTTATAAACTAATTTACATGTAGTCCACCTGTGTTTGATTTAGTCTTACTATAAATCCAGCTGTTTTGTGAAGGCCTCAGAGGTCAGTTAGAGGGCTTTTGCTACTCATTAAACAATATTTAAAACCTGCATTATTATGAACTGCAGTAGTTTATTATTTACAGATATCTATTCAACTGTAACTTTAACCTCAGCAAAAGGTTTTCCTTGCAATAGATTTACCCAGACGGTTTGAATAATAATGCTTCTTAGATTGAGAGAACAAATTAAAGACAGTGTATCATGCGTCTGTGTTAGCTTCTTGTCTAGATTCATAAAAAATACATAGCAGTTTATGATAGGTATGTAGAAAAAAAGGAGCATTAGTGCATTTCCAAGACACTCTGATGAAATAAAGTCTAACACTGAATAAAACAAAGGTTTCATTTTTATTAAAGAGATGAGCTCAATCTATCCTCTCTGTATTCTCCAGCATGTCCAAACCAGAGCCATCTTTGTAAGAGAGTTATGACAACTCTATTGACGACAATGGCCGACATTTTAAAGAGCAACGGCAGTGCATGAAGCTTAAATGGAGTTAGCGAGTATTGCTTTAGACAAGGGGTCACCAATTAAAAATCAGTGGGGTCCGAATAAGGAAAATCAACAACCAGTAAAGGTCCGGAGACATTAATTATAATCTGTTACTTTAAACAGAGTTTAAGAATGAAATAAAACTAGGATTTTATGCATCCATGTTATACATTGATTTTTTTAAATAAAAAAATATATAGAAAAAAAATATATACCCGTATAAAATTTTTCCATTTTAAAATCTAATTTGGTATATAGACAATTTCCTGATTCACATATTTTATAAAAAACACGAACTGACGGTTTGTTATTTATTTTATTACTATTATTATTATTTTTTTATGGCTTAATGAAAAAAGTGGGCTTTAGGCTGCCCTGCAAAGCTTTTAAAACTGGGTTTGAATGGAGACAAAGCCATTCTAAAGCACAGATCAAGGAGCTCATTTTGAGCCTGGATCCATATTTATTTTTGATTATGTTCTTGGTGGAGAATCCTGCTTCACAGCAGCAGGTTGAGCCAAACATACTCAAAATGTGCAGGGTCATCTTTGAGCACGCTACTTCACTTTTCAGTTCAACACAGTTCTTCCAGCAGTCCAAACTTTCTCTGCTCTCTTTTTCTCATCGTCTTCTCCTTCTTTCCCATCACCCGGCTTGCCTCAGGTTTGTCTGCGGTGTCTAAAATTGGCTTTTATCAGTGACCCAGACTGACAGCTCATTGGATAATTTGTTTGACATGCAGCGAGGTCCCGGACGCTCCAGAGGGCGTTTACCATGTTAACAGGAGAAGCGGTGCAAGTGAATTTAGACACTGTCGTCGGACAACATGCAGTAATTTATAAATGTTTTAAATCATGTTGGGTCCGGATTAGCCAGCAGGGGGGTCCGGATCCAAACCGCTAATCCGTGACCTCTGCTTTAGACGTTAGAAGAGCATGGCAATAGAAACTGATATTTAGGTTGCCCTACTCATTTTTGATCATGTAAACTAAACGTGAACATCTAAAAATGTTACATATGAGTCAACTGAATGCGATTGAAACAGACTCAAACTGCTATATGGACTAAAACCTCTCAATCAGTAATCTTTTTGTATAGTATGTGAAATAATTACGGGTCTGGGTGCATTTTCAATGGGCCACCTACCATTTCCACCAAACTCCTGGACACCCTAGCAAGCAAACTATTAGTCTTCCACGGGCAAAACTCTCCTACTCAACAACTCTGGTCCATCAACAGCTTATAGTATCAATAAAACATTTTCATGTTTTTTCATATCAAAGTCAAACAGGAAGGCATTAATGTCTACTATCAAAGGTTTGTAGCATCTAGCCATAGATACCAATCAGTATTAATAGATCACATCCTCTCAGTGGTTCAGTAGATGCAGCCTGACACTCACCATCCTCCCTCAGCGTCCTTCAGGGAAGCACCTGTAATTGAACCTCCTGTGGTCTTCTTTTGTCAGTGGAGAGGCTGAACCGGTTATAGACTGAGTATCAGTGATACGGGTCAAGAGGGTGGAGTACCTCTGGAAGCTCCCTGAGCTTTAGGATGCAGCACACATCCAGTAGGAGTTTCCTCAGATCTATTCAGCAGAAAAAGTTTGCAATTTTTTAAAAGCCTTGTTAAAACTGCGTTTCCAACAGCTTCTTCATCTGTTTTTCTTTTTTTTTTTTTTCATTTACAGCTGGCTTTGTTTTCGCTAATGACTGATTTTATACCTTTTTTTTTTTTACAATACATTTACAGTCCTGTGTCCTTCCTGTCTGTAATTACCTACCCAGTCCAGGCAGCTGCATCCATTTAATATTAACCAGCGAATCTCCATCTGTTCACTGCAGAGTATCTCCCCTGCAGAAGTCAGAGATTGTGGACATGGTGAAAAAGCACGTAAAAGCCATCACTCTGGCAATAGGCGACGGTGCAAACGATGTGGGCATGATCCAGACGGCTCACGTTGGAGTGGGAATCAGCGGCAACGAGGGCATGCAGGCCACCAACTCCTCTGACTACTCCATCGCACAGGTGGGAGCAGACCTAGTCAAGTCGATGTGTTCCTAACTACTTCATTACAAACAGCAATCTGACATCTAAAAATAGGCAATAGTAGAGTTTATATACCCAGTGCCACTGTGGTTAGTGTGAAGTAGAAATATGGCTGCCACATTTTTTTTATTTCAAGATAAATATTTCAAAAAATGAACACTGTATTAAAAAGCTTTTTGTCCATCAAAATACTAAGATATTATTTAGAGGACACAAATAAAATAAAACAAGTGTGTGAACATAAGGAGCCACTGCAAGAATTAATTTGTTGTTAGGATTTAGAATTAGACAGAATAAATATAAATGCATTGCATGACAATAAGCAAAAATAGTCCACATAGAGGTAGATGTAAATATGGTTTATTAATCCTTTGACCTACATTATCACTTTTATTCATTCAAAGCTTCCTGCAACATCTTTAGCAACATCCAGGTGACAAAAAGAGTTGAGTACACTGTTTAATTTTTGGGCAAATTTTCCCTGTTTTCGTTAATCTTTGATGTCGCAATAGCAATACATGTCAATTCTGATTCCTCTTTTAAAGAGCATCATATAAGAACAAAATTTAAGGTAATTATTTCTATTCCTCCATTGCAAGCAATCATTTTTTTCATGAGGAACAGCTGTCACCTTCCAGTGCACAAAGCAGTCATTGTACAATAAGGTTGTAAACCTTTAAGACAAATGTACAGGGATCCCAGTTTAATAACTCTCTTAATCAGCTTATATTACTGATTAGCCATGTTAGCACAGCTAGTGTTACAGAGCTGGGACTCCCTGCAAGTATTAATAAAACAACAAAAACCCTTAGCTAAACTCTAAGGTTTCTAAAAAGCTGCAAATATGACCAAATCCATGGTGTTCTTTGGCAGAGTCTGAAAGCTAAAATGTTCAAAATGAATCCTTTTTGCTTTACCATGTTGGGCCTTCCTGTTTGTCATCCCAAAGGCTGACTCTCTCACAGTGGGAATAAACAATCATGTCTCAGCATATTTAATAAAACACAGAAAAGACAGCTTTCTTTCCAGTAGCTTTCTGCTAACTTATTTTGAAACGAATAACTTCTCTGACCTGTAATAAACCTCCACCTGGAAAGTTGTAAGGAGCACCATGCTGTGTGTGTTTACTGATCTGGAAAAGATCATCTACTTCAAGCCTCAAACTCTAATTATGAAACGGGGGGGAAACAACAACCAATAAGTCCTGAGAACGAGATGTCAACAGTCTAAAATGATTACCGGTAACATGGCGGGCTTTGGCATTCAAGGCTTTAAAACCATTAAAATACAAAGCTATTTCCTTAAACCAAACTGATAGCTGCAAATTAACAGTTATATATGACTTTTTAAGCACCTGTTTAGCTCATTTAGACCTGGGTCATTATAGTAATTAATGTTCTTATTAGCAGTTTGTAAGAGGAGAACAATAGTTGTTGATCCACTGAAAGGTCTTCACTTACTGACTCTTCATCTAATCCTGCTCTTTAACCTTACCTTAGGGGAGGGAATGAAAGGAGATTTCCCATACAAAGATCAGTGCAGTGTCATGTTACCCATATGAAACATTGGTATAAACAGGCCTTTACAATCTAAAGTATCACTATAACAGTCAAAACACAAGGGGAGAATAAAGATGTCACACAGTTTCACAGTGATAGCCTTTATTTCATATTCAGCGCTGTTGTTTAAGTTTCGTCAATAAACAATGAATGCACATTGATTTCACTCAATGTTTTAAGGAAAACCAAAATCGCATTTTATCCTATATCATGCACAAATGTTTAAGTGTGTTAAACATTCACACTTAAAACAAATATGTTGCTTAATGGTTCTTGTAAATTTTTGCTTATTATTATATATAAAGATATAAATAATCCTGATCTGGTTTTATGTAATTCTAGCTGTGTAATATAACTTTTATTTTCATAGCAATACTTAATTTATTTTCTTTGGATGAAAAAGTCTAACTTAGGACGGGGCTGTGAATTAGCCTTTCACTAGAAGCCCTGTGGAAGGGTTACAACATTTAGTACTGTTCCTGCAGAAATGAACAAAAAAGTATAAAATAGTGAAAGTAAAAATAAAATCGTTAAACTTTTCTCCATTTAGCAATTTAACAACCAAAACCTACAGCATGTATTACTGGTGTTTTGTTGCATTTATACTGTAATTAACCCTAACACAAGTGGACTCCATTTTGTTTATTAGGCGCTTTAAAAGGCACCTGGCTGCACTGGATTTTATATAAGTGTATTATAGTAAAATTTGTTGCAAAAGATTGTTGTACAATTTAGATGTCACTTATAAAACTATGAAAGCTGCTATTTTCTTCCTCTTCATAACATTTCGCCACCTTATGCTGCTTACTTTTATAAAATGCACTAAAAGTTATACTTAATGTGTAGGGGTATGAAAGGTTTGTTTTTAAGCCCTGTTTGCATGATTCAATCAGTCAATACAGCACTATGTATGGTAGAGATAATATCATACCAGCCATCAAAAGCGCAACAAAAACCAAACAGGTTTCTGCTGTATTCATCACCAGATTTATTTACGGAGGTTTTGAGGCCAGGTTGGGTGAGGATCCTCCCAAGTTTCCAAGTCAGAATTGCTGAATGTGTTGATTTTGACATTTAAATATAAACTAGGCTTAGCAATTGTGACCCCTGAGTAAGAAGGGAGAAATGAGGGGAGTGACAGCTTGAGATGATCTCTTTCTGTGACATCCCAATTAAAAAATATTGTTCAGGAACAAATCAGCTGATTGAAGCTTTTCACTATAAAAAAGATTTTGCTGTTATATAATAATGGCATTTGATACTGCTATAATGTTGAGGAATGTTCCAGTGAGGACAAAGCTGTTCATGAATAAAAACATAGGCTCAACTTTTGCAAGATTATTCATATTTATGCAGTTCCTGGAGAAAGGCAGATTCATTATAATAAACCACTAACATGGTGTGACTGAAATAGCTCTTTAAGACAATGTCTACTCTGCATTAAAGGCCCTCAAAATCATTCTGCTCCATCACACAACAAACTGTATATTACTGGCTTAGAGCTTGAATGGAGGGCTGATTTCTGTGCGGTTTATTTGCAATGTTTACATCATGTAAAGTACAGTGACGATGCACTGCAGATAAAGCTGCAACATATCTGAAGCTACATCAACGTAGCTTAATTAATCCAACTCTTTTTAACTTTTACTTCCTTTATTTGAAACCAGTTTTCCTTTCTAACCTTTCTTTCCTTTTTTTAATCCCTAACATCTTTTTCTCTAACTTCCCCCTTCTTAGTTCTGCTATCTGGAGAAGCTCCTGTTGGTCCACGGGGCATGGAGCTACAATCGCGTCACAAAATGCATCCTCTACTGTTTCTATAAGAATGTGGTGCTCTACATTATAGAGGTAAGAGCCCACACACCCACACAGTTACATTAACAGAGACATTTGGCAGCTGTTTGTCGACATGGCTGACAGTGATGGATGAGGTGACCTTCTGGTATCTGCTGTTTCCTTCCCACACACAATATATATTTATATGGATCCTTTTTGTGAAATATATACTTAAAAGCGTTTTAAATCGGCTGAGGTGAGATTTTGGGCTGTGAGGTCAGCTGCTGTTTGTGCACGTTCTTAATTGCATATATTTAATGTCCTTTTTTTTTTTCTCTGGGGCCAAAATAATCCATATATGCAAAAGGTGTCGGTGCAGGTTTTTCATCAGGGATGATGTACAGGAAGCAGGAGTTATGGTTTGATAAAATGCTTAAAAGTAGCTTTTGTGATGGTTGTCTGTTACTTTGAGCTGGAATGTCTTTATTAGACGACTGGGTCTGCTGCACCCTCGGTCCGCCCGCTGTCAGCTGTCCTCACCCCCTGCACCTCACGCTGCTTTAAAAAGACGACAGCAGGTTCAGGCTCTCCCAGGAGGCTTGAGCTACTACCGTCCAGTTCCAACAGCAGCTCTTTATCACTTCATATATATTTATTGGATTGTCTCATTTTATTGGATTCCAGCAAAGCATTCTGGGCCAGAAGTTGGAGACTGTCTCCGTTCACTTAGAGGACACAATAAGTGGGAGGGCTGTGTTTGTGTCTGATCTCCCCCTTAGGCTGTTTGCTGTGGTAATAGCATAGCTCCCGGCAGTGGCCCCAAGAATTTCATCTATCTGACCTGAGATCAGCTTGTGGACTAATGAAGGCTCAGACTTATGTTGTACTCATCTTACAGAACTAGTCAAAGGCCATTCCCTGTGGTTATTATACTGGATATATTATTATGCATTATGCCCTCAGAAATATTTTGGTAGTTATCCTTTAGCAAACTGCATCTCCACCACAGGCTTTTCTTAGCATTAACAAGTTCCCCTAAAGGCTGATTTATACTTCAAATCTAGGTCGTCTGCGTAGGTGATGCAGTAAACTCAGGGACGTCCCTGCGCTTTCCGCAGAAAGAAGGCTGGCTTGTTTTGTTTTTATGATCACAACCGCAGAAAACAACTCAGACCAGCTAGAAGAGCAGGGTGCGCAAGAATGCTGGAACCCTTATTCCACCTGGATCCCCGCTCTTTTTGGCCCTCATGTCCCTCTGTTGTCTGACAAACTTGCCCCCACTTCCTCTCCACCTCGGCCGTATCTAGACCCACAGCGTATAGAGCGGACCACGCTCAGAATTGAGCATAAATCAAAAATTTCTGCGTCAAGCTCATTGCGACACACTGCAGCAAGAGTATAACCAGCCCTTAAGCCTATATAACCATTTCTCATTGTCCAGGTGGAACGTCGATGGATGTCCAACTTTTAACCATTTGACTCTCCAAACTTTCTGTCTCAGCTTAAATGGAACTTCTTTATAATCTGCCATGGCTTGAGCTTTTTATGAACTAGAAGATTAGTTTAACACCAGTGTCCACATCTGTTCTAAATTCAGCTTTAGGCTGCCGACATGTAAAAAAGCGCCTGCTGTAAGAAGTGACACATTCAAGCTTGCATGAAATATGCTGTGTCCATAAATATGAGTAGAAACTCAGCAGGATGTTTGTGTCATTATCAACAAAGATTGACACAATTTGGTACAATGGGGATGTTTTGAGGTCAAGCTAAGGCTTTGAAACTGAAGACCATTGTAGCATTTGCTAAACATGGTAGGGGTAGCATAATGCTAAGGGTCTATTTTTACCTACTAATTGGTGAAGTATTACAAGCAAATGTGAAATAAAAAAAGAACAAAAACATTTTTATATGTTTTAAACGGGATAAAACTGGCTAGCATAAAGCTAGTGGGGTTGAGCTTGGAGCTCCACTGATTCAGGTTCTTTCCAGCTGATGCTGATTATTTTGACATCAGTTTAACCGATCTCTAATATGTGCTGCCCATTATGGGCGTTAGATTCCTAAAAAAAAAATTATTCCTCCATATACATGATAAATAAATGACACCGTAATAAAAAAAAGGTTACACAATCTTCAGTTGAAAAAAATATTTTATTAACAAACCAAAGAATGTGTAACGGATAGCATAAGAAGAGAGCAGAAATGCATTCACACATGCACATATGGGCTGATGTTTACACAAAGAAAACGAAAACTACTAATATCAGCCAGCAGATGTATCAGTTTGCCTCTAAATGAGGTGCAACTTGCTGAGGGATATTTACCAAATACTTTGTGTCACTTTCATGTTTAACCCTGTTGAAATGAGAGGAAAAAAACACTCTACCCCAATCCTTCAATTTTTAACTGTTTCCATAACTGATTTTTTTCGGTACCTGCACTGAATTTTCCAACCCTACTTACGTCTGATTATACCTTCTCCTAAGTCCTGATTAAAAAAAGCCAATAGCTGCTTTTCAGGACTCCTCTCATCACCTCTCCTCCTTTCTCTCTGCCGCAGCTCTGGTTTGCCTTTGTGAACGGCTTCTCGGGTCAGATCCTGTTTGAGCGCTGGTGTATAGGCCTCTACAACGTGGTGAGTATTCACCTCAGCCACCTTTCACACTTTCACCTAGCTGCTTCTTATTATTATCTCTCCCTGGATCTCAAGCACTCGTACTTCTTATCGGTCCTCTTGCCAGAGACGCCAGCGTGTTTGTACGTTGCGTCTGGGTGCAGCTGCCTCGGGGCTCCTTAGTGTTTAGAACGTTATAGAATTCCCTTTTAGCGCTGACCATCTGATAAGAACAAGCATATGTTTGGTGTCTGCAGATATTCACCGCGCTGCCCCCGTTTACTCTGGGGATCTTTGATCGGCCATGCAGTCAGCAGAACATGCTCCGCTTCCCGCAGCTCTACAGAATAACCCAGAATGCTGAGGGCTTTAACACCAAGGTACGTGTGTTTAAAAAAATGTATTTACTCTGGTTTTCTTAATCTACATCCAGCTTGTTGTGGATGTTTGTGATCTGATGAGTGAAGCCGGATGGATCTGAGCGGGTAAACTAAGCCTTAATGAAATCCACAGCTACGGAATAAGAAACTCTTTCATTTGATCCTGCTGTGTGCACGCTGATTAGTGTGTGCTGCACAGGATGAAGCTTTGGTGGCACATAGGGAAGGTTGTGCATTACTGTAAGTAGCTGCCTCTCCTGCGTGTTTTTATTTTTATTTGTGTGAGGCAATAAGTGCCATCCACATTCGTTAGCTTCTCCTGTAAAAATGTTAAAAAGAGCTTTAAAATAATTTTTTGCATCATCTCTTTCTGAAAAATAGTTTTGCAAAAAAATAGACAATCCCTTTGTTGTCCCACAATAGGGAATTTGTGGGGTTATTGTACTGTAGTGTTTTTATAATATATTACTGTATCTGGCAAATCAAAAACAGCTTTGGGCATTTTTACAGTAATGGATATGTGAAAAATAGCAGCAACACCCGAGATGTGCAAAAACAAATAATAATCGTGAAAAGCAAACAAAAGCACTGAATATTTTAATATCAGCATGAACAACTTTTAAAATAAGTTTAACAAGAACATTTCGAATGTATATTTTACTTTCTGGTGGTAAATTTCTGTTTTCCTGGGGGTATAAATGTCAAGCAACATAGAAAATTGGAAAAATGATTTTAAAAAAAATAGGAAAGGAATTAGGACTGCAGAATATTCTACATTATTAATTAAGGCAATGTTGCAGTTGGCTTTATGTACGCCTCTAAAAACTACCTGGACTGTAATAAGGGTTAGCTTATTATTTAAATATCAGACATTCAGGAACTCTTTAAGTTATTTGATGATGCATGCAGCATAAAAATGGCATAGAAGTGGTAAAGTGGCCAAGTCATTCAACTTTAATTGGTTTCTAGAGCAAACAGAAGAGGTCACCTTGGTTGTACCTTGTTCAGATTCAAATTATACATTTTATTAATTTGTCCTGCAGTTGGATAGACTGTTTATTATCTGGAATCCTTGTTTGCTTTGACATCAAACCAGAAACACTTTCTAATTACTGTATTATTTGCAAGTCATATGGTTATAAAATCATCAGTATTATCTCATATTGCAGTTTTTCCCAATATTGTGCAAAACATTTGCTTCTAGTATAAAGTTGTTCCTACTGACAGTTATAAATAAAGGTGGGGTTTATCTAATGTCTTAACCTTTTTTTTTTTCCTAATCCCCATCGGCATTCAATAACTAGATGTAAAATGCTACACCCTACAATTTTTATTTCCGTGTAGTCTCGATTCTGATTATCCTTATTTTGTTATTTTAAGTTTGATGAATCCTAAGATTTTTTTGTCAGTGTGTCCACGCCAGTAATAGTAATATTTGTGTCCAGTATTTGTTTTCATGGCAACACCTCCAAAAGTAATTTCAATAAATACAGCTATGTATGAATTCAGTTGCTTTCAGTTATGTATCAATTGAAGACACTATCCAGATCATACACAGCCAGTCAGCCACTGGTAATGGCTGTATCCTTTTACTACAGTGTTCAGTGAAAATATCGCAACTCATCACAATACATCGCAATATTTCAAGTATCGTGATGCATCGTGATAGAATTGCATCGTGGCATGTGAATCGTGATTCGAATCGAATCGTGACTTCTTTGCCAATACCCACCCCGAATCAGAACTGTGCATTATCACATACATGGGCTTGTCCCTGCCAACCTTCTGCAATTAAATAAAAATTATATATATATATATATATATATATATATATATATATATATATATATATATATCCATCCATCCATTTTCCATCACGCTTTGTCCCAACTGGAGTCGCGAGGGGTGATGGTGCCCATCTCCAGCTATCAGTGGGCGAGAGGCGGGACAAACAGTCATGTTTTTGGACTGTGGGAGGAAGCCAGAGAGAACCCACACTTGAGAACATGCAAACTCCATGCAGAAAGACCCGGGCCCAGGAATCAAACCCAGATCCTTCTTGCTGCAAGGCAGCAGCGCTAACCACGTGTTCACCGTGCAGCCCCATTGTATACATTTAAATATAAATTAATTATAGTTGTAGAACAGCTTTCCGGATGTTTGAGCCTCACAAACTTAATCTAAAATATTTCTCACATTACAAACAGAAACTTCAATGTGCTTGTCAGGGATTTTATTTCAGTTAAGAGAGATTTTTTAACCCCTTTATTCTCATATGCCAAAACAAAATGCAGGAAGACCGTTTATCTCAAGAACTCCTCACTGATATCTCGTCCTCCAATGTGCAGTAATTCAGTCTCAGAGTAAATAAATATGTTTTTTTTTCCCATTACAATACATCTTGACCATGTTGTGCATCTTCAACTCCAACTGTGAAACATTCACTGCTAAATAATTTTCTTTTAAACACAAGATGATATTATTTTAGGCATTTTAATGCATCTCTAGCTAATAATTGTCGTATTTGTATTTTGGTATCATTCTTCTTGTTTTTTCCTACCCTCTTTCAGGTGTTTTGGGGACACTGTATCAATGCACTCATTCATTCAATCATCCTCTTCTGGTTCCCATTAAAAATGTTAGAGCACGGTAAGCAAATCATACTGATTTTCTTCTTGTATAATTAGTTCTCCCTTATATTTAGTTTCAAAGCTTCCTATTTGTTGTCCACAGATTCTCCATTCAGTAACGGTCAGGGAAACGACTACCTGTTTGCAGGAAACATGGTCTACACGGTAATCTTCTTGCTTGTATTTTCTGGCAGCCGACTTGTGTGCAAACTCTTCCCCAGGATTTGCACCGTATCCAAGCTTATTGGTGCCAATTAACATTTAGATGCTCACGAATATAATATTAACTTGAGGCTTTGAAATATTCATTTGAACTGTTTTCTCTTAAACAGTTAAATGAGCTTACAAACAAAAAATGTCTCTTAATTATAAAAAATATAAAAGAACTGGTTGCACAAGCTAAAATTTGTATTGCCTTTTTTCACCGTGGCCCACAAATAAAGACAAATGCAAATAGTTTGAAGTCTGGATTCTTCCAAGGGCTTATTGCTCATGGGCTTAACACAATTTAAATCTAGGTTTCTGCAGCTGTTTCAGTCAATGTTAAACAATTATAAAATAATATTTTTATTACCACATGCAGTCAAACAACCCCACAGTATGATGCCGCCACTACCACACTTTTATAAAGCTCAGTGTTTTCAGATTTTAATATATGGCTGTGACTCTACCAAAGCTTCTGCCCTTCTTTCCTTTGTTCCATCTTCGTATCACCTGAGTGTAAAACTGTTTTTCCATGAGGTCATTTAAGTGGACAGATGTAGGCTTTCCCTCTGTCTGAAAGTGTCAGTTTTGGAACATGATGGCCCTCTTTCTTCATAAGCATCCTCTCCCTCCATGGTGATTTCAATCGTTTCCCTCTGGGGGTGGGGGGCTGGTCTTCCTGTATGTTCTAATTTATGATCCGCCTGAGCCTTGGTGGTTCCTGCCTTGTCTCTCAACATCCTGACCAATTCATTTTCATTTCAGGTCACAGTTTGGTTACGATGAGGGAAACTTTGACTGTTGGGTTTTTAAAAAATAAAATAATGACCCAGCATTTTTTAGCTGAACTAAGATCTTAATCCTTTGCATAGATTTTGAAACATTAGCTCGATAGTTTAACCAGTTTAAATTGACCCATTTTGCTAAGATGATAAAGGAAATGACTAGCCAGAATTACACCAGGATAAATTGTTAAGGTCTACAAGTGCAGCTTGTTAAGGGGCGTTTACCCAGCTGTTATTTAGAATAGTTTATTAATCCGCTTCTCTCTGCTATTTCTGACAAGTGGATCAGAGAAAATCTACGATAAATCCAAACTTGTCTACCTAAATTTTGCTTCTAAAGTTAATTGAAATGATTTATTGTTTTATATCGTCCTGGGATAAAAAGATGGTTCATATGAAATAATTAAAACCCCCAATGTAATGGCAGTGTAAAAAATGTATAGTGGATTTAATTATTTTTTTATAGATTTTAATCTATAATCTCGTTGCTCAAATCTTTTTTTTTTCCTTTAAGGCATCCTTTCATTCTTACCTTTAATGTATCTTTATTTAATCCTTTTTTTTTTTTTTTATAGATTTTAATCTATAATCTCGTTGGTCAAATCTTTTTTTTTTTCCTTTAAGGCATCCTCTTATTCTTACCTTTACTGTATCCTTATTTAATCCTTTTTTTCTTTCCCTTTGTGTCCTACATCTTACATTTCTCTGTCATTATTTAATACTGAACTTTAATATTAGACTTTTTTTTTTTTAAACTGTGGAGTGTTTGTTTTTATTACACAGGATCTGTGTCTGATGTGTGTTTGTTTAGAGGGGCTTGTGGGGGTCTGAGGTATTTTAACAGACATTGCTGAGTTTACTGTACAGCATTAATGTTTATTGTCTCCACAGTCGCCAGTGTACTAATGCAGTCTCCTGTTTTTTCTTCTGTTCTTGTTTGTGTGCCCCTCCTCCGGTGTTTGTGTGTCTGTGCAGTATGTGGTCGTTACAGTTTGTCTAAAAGCTGGAATGGAGACCACCGCTTGGACCAGGGTAGGACCATTAACATGCTTTAATGAGCAGAGCAACATGTGCCATATTTTGCTCATAAATAAAAATTGGATTATGGTTTTCTAATTTCTTTTTTTAAATGTCAGATCTGCATTGCTGGGGAAAAAGGCTTGTAGTGAATGTTTTAGGCTTTCTTCAAAAACAGTGTCCTTTACAATCTCTCTCCTTCTGCTTCTTGTGTTTGCATTATCTTTACTCCATATTCTGTTCATACAAAAACAAAGAGTCTTGAAAACATACAAATAATAGTGATGAATTAGCGTTTGAGTCTGGAGGCCTTACTGTGAAGCGGCTGCTAAAGATGCTCTGAGAGATTCATCTTATGAGGAACAAAGCTGCTCAGACAAGCCATGGCGAAGCAGAAAAACAGACCGGGGAGGAAAAGATTCCCATCTGTCAAACTGATATTAAAGACAGAAACACCTGAGGGACACAGATTTGACTTACTAACGCTAATGCAGAGTGCAGATGTCCTGTCGTGGAAAAAAAACCTGATTTGGTCAACTCTCACTTCTGTTTTTGCTTTTTGTTAACTGTTATAGACCAATACCATCGGTTAGCAATGTTCTTTTAGCTGAAATATTTTCTGTTCTTGCTTACTTGTTGGAAGATTTATCCATATGTTTATAAAGTGGTTCTTTATAACTTTTGCATGAGATTGTTCAAATAAGTCCTTACTCCTCAGAATATATAGTCTATTTCTGTCACAAACTGATTTTCATCAGGCAAACTTAAAGAAATACGGCTTTAATATTCATCCCTTTTTTTTGACTCCAAAAAATTATAAAATGTAAAATATTCTGAATTAAATATTTGAATCTGTGAATCTAAGGTTGAATATGGCTGCAGTCTTCCTTCATTACGAAGGACTAGTGCTAAATCTACAGTTAATAGACCCATATCAGGTGGTGTAGTAGTTAGTGCGAACAATCCATGTACGGAGGCCTTTGTCCTCGAAGCGGCCGACCCGGGTTCGAATCCGGCTTGTGGTCTTTTGCCACATGTCTCTCCCCCTCTTTCATACCCCTTTCCTGTCAGCCTACTGTCAGAAAAACAAGCCACTAGTTCTGTAAAAAGCTCCAAAATAAAAAATAGACCCATAGCATAATTCTACCACCTCCATGCTTGACAGCTTTTGTTCTTAGGTTTGAAAACCTTATTAAAAGTCCCATACATACTCTACGAGAAAATACGGAAAACCTTAGAACACCCCACCCCCTAATAACTAGTGTTACCCCCAATGAGGGGGATTAAATTATTAAAGCCTTTAAGAGGGACTCTGTAGTTTAAGAAAGTGTTGCAGCCATTTAATTCAGCTGAGTTTGACCAGAACAGGGGTGCTCAAGTCCAGTCCTCAAGAGCTACCATCCTGTAGCTTTTAGATCAGGGGTCCCCAACCGACGGCTCCAGAGCCGCATGTGGCTATTGCTGCTATTGCTGCTCCCTGAAGCTTTTTCAAAAATGTATGAAAATGGAAAAAGATTGATATTTAGTGTATTTTAATATGTTGTGCAGGAGTTCAAACTAACATTCATTATGTTTCCCAAATTTGTATAATAAATAATTCAAACAATAAATATAAACATTTCTGTCAGCGAAGATTACCATCATACTGTAGCCTGCAACACACATTTCAGTGCGGCGTGGTGCCAGGCAGGTGGCTGATGTAAACAAACCGGCGGGTGTTTCTCGGACCATGGATCCAAATAGATCCGGTACTTCTAGATAAATTAGAGGAGCGCAAAGGTTTCAGGAGTGGATCGCATCTCCAAACTCCACTACTGCTGTTAGTCTTGTTGCAAGCATGGAAAACACGGATTGAAAAAGCAGCGCTCTTATGCAGGTATGTGAACTTTCTTCCAATTTTCCCCCAAATCCTCAAAATAAAAATAACCCCTAAAATCTGATTAATTGTGTTTCTATAATTTAATCAATGCAACAAAACCTAATACATACAAACCACCCTGTGAAGCGGTGAACTCTGCACGGTTAAGAGCGCTCACTGCTCCTTATTCACATCGTGCCACTATGGAATTTAAACTTAAAGCACCAAATATAGTACAGCAGAGTAGTCACATGATGTGACATTTGCTTCAGGATAAACATTAAATCCATCCATCCATTTTCAGTCACACTTATCCCAAGCGGGGTCACGAGGGGTGCTGGTGCGTATCTCCAGCTGTCTACGGGCGAGAGGTGGAGTACACCCTGGGCAACACATTAAATCATGAATGCTAATTATATGTTTGAGACCTCATAGTCCTTTTTTTTTATAGTGCGCTAATATACTTATAGCCTGTGTTGCCATACGAGGCTTATATAAGACTTTTACATCTTTGCGGCTCCAGGCAGATTCGTTTTTTTGGTTCAATATGGCTCTTTGAACAGTTTGGGTTTCCGACCCCTGTTTTAGATGCATCTCTTTTCTGACGCACCTGAATCTAAAAGCTCAGTCTCCTCCTTTAGCTCAGCAGAGGCATGGTAATGAGCCACTCTTTTGTTTCAGGTGTGATAAAAATGGGTTGTATCAAAAATTTTTTGGATATTTGCTCTGAGGACTGGACTTGACATAGTGTTTCCAAACTCTTCCACAGAATAAGGTAAAAAGCTCAAAAGGTTAAAGCGGAGGAACCTTTCATTCAGCCTTTCCAATAGCCTGAATGAACAGCAAGCATGTGTGACCTGTAGAATATACGCTTTCTATTTAAAGAGCTTAGCACATCTCTGTGCCTCCTCTGAATTATTTTTTCTTAATGCTTAAACCGTGTAAGAGAAACAGCTGATTGCAATTCTTTTTGTATTGTTACTGAAATAAATTGAACTTGAGTTTCCATCAGGCCGGTCGCAGGACAGCCACAGATAATCACACAATATGCAGATTTCTTGTTATACCTTCAGCATACGACTGACTATGCGGAGTCACCTTTCAGTTTAAAACACAGAAGTGGAGGTAAAGTTTGGGGGGGAAAAAAGGAGCTCAAGCTGTGATGGTGACATTATTTGGTTAGTTCCTGCTGCTGCAGTGACAAAGAGTGGCAGGACAGACAGCGAGGCGCTGACACCTTTGTCCGTTCAGCTGTCCACACAGCAGTCTGGGAGTAATGAAGTGAGGTCCCCCTGGAATTCACACAGTGTCCCCTTACAGCACATCACAGAGACGGATAAAGAAGAGGGAGGGAAAGGTTGACTATATCCAGAGCTGTATGTGAGCTATTTAACCTCGTCTTGTCTCTCTTCTAATCTCCATTTTTGTTCTGGTTTTCCCCGTCCTTTTCTCTGTGTAGTTTTCCCACCTAGCAGTTTGGGGAAGCATGGCGCTCTGGATGGTCTTCTTCGTCGTGTACTCTGTGTTCTGGCCCACCATCCCAATTGCCCCAGACATGCTGGGCCAGGTAATATGCTCACCACCAAGCCCCTCCCAGTAGACCTTTCATTTTTAAAGCCTCTCCTGCTCCTCCTTCCCTCCATGTTAACCAATACATGGCGTCTAGGAGACTCACCTCTTGGGTGTTCTATGTCGGCACTGCTGGAGCTCCCATGGGAGGGAGGGCTGTACCCCGACGGGGGGCTCCCCGCACCTGCTGCGTGTCACCCGAACTCCTGTCTTTTACTGCTCTCTGTGGAGGTGTTGACTTATGAGGGTGGGCCGTTAATGATGAGGATGATGAGGGGAGTGTTTGTTGAAGCCCTTAATTGGGGGACTGCTTGTAGAGTCTGGGGGATAAAGCCCCGGGTGGGAGTGGGTGCCCCGCTGAGTGGACATGGAGAAGGAACAGGACCGTCTCAACTCTCTGCAGCCCATTAATTCAATTTGTGTCAGAAATCAGGAATGCGGTCAAATATCCCTGCAGCTGCTCGGTCTGACTGGGGGAATAGTCGGAGACACTCTGCCATCATACCCCCCCCCCCCCCCCCCCCCCCCCCCCCTAACTCTCTTATTTCCCCTCCTCCTGCTATCTATACACCCATTTTTCCACACAAGAAGGGGGGCTGAGATGAGAATGAAAAGAACATAGAGGAGCTCAGAATAACTGAACACAACTATGTTACACACCCCTCCTTCGTTTTATGCCCCCCCGCATCCCCTTTGTCTTGTGTACTTTCTTCCTTTTCTACTTTCCTTGTTTTCTTCCCTCCATCTATGCTCGCCTAGTCCTGTGATTTTTTTATTCTGATATTTATCTCTTTTCTCACTTACATCATCCATTCCTTCCTTTTCTTTGTTTTTAAAAGATATAAATATAAAAAATATAACCGAGGATGTTTTGAGGACAGTGATTCGCCTACATGTTATGAATGCTGCCGTACCATAAAGAATAAATTATGAACAGCTCAGTTTGTGCCTTCAAGTCGTTGCCCATAGGAAGACGTTACTTGGATATAACCTAACCGAATATCCTCAGAACAGCTCCAAATGACACAAAACTCATATGGATGAGTAGAACATGATGTTATAACGTAAAATCAAGGGCCCAATGTAAAAATAAAACGGCATTCCCCTTTAATTCTCTTTTTTCGCAAGTTATTTTCCTTCATCTTAAAACCTAAAATTTGAAATGTCTCTGTGATTATTTAAAAAAAGGAGAGAACCATTGATGGGTAAGTCTGAACCTCGGCCCCTTCCTCTCCAGGAACCCGACTGTGTTCAAATCTGTGCGGTTAAACCGACTGAAACAGTAGAAGTCCCTATGCAGGGTTTGAGGTGGCAGTTCGTGTCTTTAGCTGGAGACAGAGACTTACTTTTTTAAAAGTTGTGTGGGAAGCAGATGACGAAGATTAACAGCAGCAGGTGAGGACAAGCAGCAGAGACAACAGTCACTAATGATGAAAGAAGGTTGCGAAAGAGTGAGATCGAAGGGGATCGCGGGAGAAAGATGTGTGGGAGTGAGGAGCAGAAAGAGACATGCAGACTGACAAAATGAGACAGCGGTTGGACGGGTGATTAATCTCAGGAGACGGACCAAGAACGGGGGTTAAAGGTCAATGAGTCGTGTTGCAGCTGGACTGCACCGACAGGTGGGGGGGGGGGGGGTCCTCCTGTTTTTCGTTTTACAGCAGCAGAATATAGACCTCTGTAACTTTTCATCTCCCTTGAAATATTTCAAACCATCAAATTGAAGGTATCCTATCTGGATTTTATGCTAGAGTCAAACATTTGAAAGCATAAAATAGTGAAAGGGGTAAGAAAATAATGCAGGAATCTAAGAACTGTAAAGAGTTTACAATTAAGTATCCTTTTTCTTTCACATCACAACTTTGTACTTCTATATTTAAAGCCCAATTAAATTATTGGAATTAAATAACTATAGGGGGGCACTAGATGTTGGGAGAAACCTTTTCTTTATTTCATTTAATCAATCACAAGTGAAACCAAATGTATCTTTATCGTTTTAGGCTGGTAAAGTGATGCAGTGCTGGTACTTCTGGCTGGGCCTGGTCCTAGTACCCACCGCCTGTTTACTGAAAGATTTCGCTTGGGCAGCGTAAGTAGAGCACATTCATTGTAAATGCGTTAAAAAAAAAATCTAAAGAACGTATATAAGTTGATCCAATCGTTTACATAACCCATATTGAGCTTATGTCAACACTGACACGCAAGCTGCACACGTCTGCACAGAAAGGCAACCCAGACTTTCCTTCACGGCTCTGATGAGTTGGTTTCTTCTCTGCAGCACACGACGCACTTTAAGGAAGTCCCTGCTGGAGGAGGTGCAGGAACTTGAGGCGCGGGCTGTTGACCCGGGAGCTGCGGTGCTCAGGGACTCCAGCGGCCGCAGGTGCAGTATATAAAAAAACTTAATGTCATTATTTCAGCTTTTTATTGGTTTTATGCATTTCATTTGACAGTTTTATTGAAATTGCCGACTTTTGGTTTGTAAATATTCTGTTGATATTTCCCTCCTAATGGAAATAAATGAGTTAAATTCACCCCGCCCCCACGGCACTGTCCACAGGGTTGAACCCAGTGCTGAGGTCCCGTAGACTCAGAGCTGCTCCTCAGAGGTAGTTTTTAGGTTTGCACTGTGCACTCTGGCCTTACATGACCTGTTTCTCATGCACGCTGCCTTTTGACTGACACTTGCATGGTTTTCTCTGTTTATCTCTAAAGCAAACCTGAAAGGTCAGGTTTATTTTCTCTCTCTGTGTCTTTAAAAATGTCCATAGTCTGTTTTTTGTTTTGTGTGTTTTTTTTTTCTTTTTTAGGTGGACCAATTTGAACTGCTGTACAGACCTGGTGTGTTTACTGTTTGCACGTAGATCCTCAGGCTGTGACTTAGTGCTCTTGTGTGTGGTGTTTTTAAGAGTTGTGATAGAATTAAATAGATCAGGTATTCAGGTATTCCAGAATACACAAGTGTTTCCCAATTGTTTTTTTTTTTTTTTTTTTTTTCTAAGTTAGAACCTTGATTATTAGCCATGCTTAAAAGAAGTTATTTTCTTACATGTTCGACTGCTAAACAAACATTTTGGATTTTCACTGTTGGAATGAAGGAAATCGATAAAAAACAAAACAAAGTTCCTCATGATGTTCTTTTCAAATACGTTCCAACTAAATCAAGCCCACAGCATCACAGATCCTCTGCTTTACTCAACACTGGGTCTTTTTTGTAAGACATTGCATGAAAATTAACATATATAATACAACTGAAGCTTTTTAAATGTAAAGTTTTGAACATTTGGAAGATTTCTTTAACCTCATTGGCCATATTATTTCCTGTGGTTGGTTGGAAATAATATATTTGGGTCCTGGTTAATTGTCTTAGTTCCAGTAGTTTTAAATGTAATTGTTGTTAAAAATGTTTCAATTTCTTTTGTTTTGAAGGAATTGTTGGTGTTCCCACAATAATTTCCTTTAGCGGCGTCAATGAGTGTAGATGATGTTGTGTGATGTGATCTAAGTAGGCATAGGGCCATGGTTTCTTAAAATCATGGTTTCCTCATTATCTGATGTCAGCAGTATTTGCTGAAGCATATTTTTATCTGCAGCTCCATCTCTGAAAGCTTTGGAAAAGCCTGACTTAGAGTGAGGCTCTAATCCTTCATCAAACCTGTTTTCCAGCTCACAATCATCACCGGATCTTTGCATCCGCTTCATTTCAAATCCGAAAGAAAGAAAGGAAGATCAGAGAAATAGTGGGAGTAAAACGAGAAAGAGCACATCTGTGTGTGAAAGGGTTCAAACCGGAGTTTATCCTTGGGCTCCGGTTGAACCAGCAGGAATTTGAGGGGGAAAAGTCTTAACAGTTGCAAAAAGGAAGGAAAAAAAAAAAGACATGTGTCTGTCCAGCTTTCATTTAGTCTTTTTTTACGATTCAGCTATGTCATCGATCTAACAGACGTTTCTTTTTTTTCGGGGCCAAAGAACTCCTCGAGCGAGCTGAAAAAGCTGCTTGTTTCTTCTCCTCTCTCAGGGAAAGATTCCCAACAGTCTCCTGGCTGCCAGATTCAAGACTTCGCTGTGGGCATGCTGGCCCAAGTTCATCACTAGTTCACCCGTCGTCGTCATCATTGCTGCAGAATTCACAAAGTCTTAATGCAAACTCATTGCTTTAATAATGTTTAAACACCACAGGATATAAACTGAACTGTACAGTTACTGACAGGCTTCTTAACGGTTATATCCTGTGCATATAGTTTTATTGCTGCCATGACAGTGATGAGACGGGATGAATGGGGGGGGATGATTGTGTGCGTCGGTGTGGAATATGTGGCCAGGGCTTAGTTATTTTTGGTCAGGGGAGGAGAGGAGCCGTGACGGCGTGTGGTCTTAAAACAGAGGGGCCACTCTTCATCGTGGACAGGAGGAGTTATGAACGCACAGGGGGGAGGAAAAGTTTACTGTGGATGGCCTGTTTCTCTGCAGACAGTTGTTGGATTACAGTTTGGCTTAATTAAATCTAAAAAACATTCAGTATTAAATCCAACGTTTATTTTGTCTGCAGTTCTTATTAGCTGTGCATGTTGTATTAGAAATCCAGTAGTCAATAATCTTCAAACATTGTCGTCTTGTTTGTGCTCTAAAGCTGCAGATTAATTGCTCTTCCTTTCCGTCTGTGTCGCAGTCTAAACGAACGAGCCCATCTGCTGACAAGAGTATTTAGGAAAACCCCTTCAAGTGTTGGAAGATCCAACTCGGTGCAGCAGACCGTGTCACGTGAGTATCTTTAAAGACAGAACTTCTAGTAGTATCTCTCCATTTAGGGACTTCCAGAACTATTGAACTCTTTTGTCACCTTAAAACTGTATTTTTTTCTCTGTCCTAATGAAGGTTTATACGATAGATCACCATTATTGGAAAGTCGGAAAGTAGGATTTAAACTAGAGCTACAGCTAACAATTATTTTGCAGAATGATCAATCTGTATTTTATTTTATTTTTCAATTACTCATTGGATAGCTAAAGATTAGAAATTTTCTAAACTTGAAGCTGGTGAAACTAAACATTTTCCACTCCAGTAGTTCTGGATAGAGTGTATAGACCGATGAAAAAGGTTTTTTTTTTATCTTATATGCAAAATCTTCCTATACTTTGTTTTACAATTTTGGTATAATTGCTGCTTTAAGTTGGTCGTTCCGTCACCTAAAGGCTTGTTTTACAGTCTCTAGACTCCAGTTAACGATTAAGCGATTATTTAATTAGTTGATAATTATTTTAATAATCGATTAATCATGATTAATCTGGTTAATTTTTTAGACCCTAATTTAAACCCATCAGTACAGAAAGTCTATAAAACACTGAAAAGTGTTGCTTTTGTTGCCTAATCCCCTCTTCTGTTTGGTGTTTCCTCAGATGGTTATGCCTTCTCTCAGGAGGAGCATGGCGTGGTTTCCCAGTCCCAGGTTGTCCGCTCCTACGACACCACCCGCCAGCGCCCCAGCCTCTAGCCACCTCCACCCAACCGATCGACGCTTTGGCTCTACGTAGCAATCGTTGTCATGAGGACAGCGAAATCAACTGGAGAGCCACCCTCTAACACTTTAGTGACAGGCCTCTGCAGTGGCCTTACCAGAACAATGACGTGACCTTCTGTCACCTGGGGTGGGGTCCGTGTCTGGTGTCAGGAGGACTGGATCGGATAAAGGGACCAGGCTAATTAATGAACAAACTCTTGGAAAAAAAAAAAAAAGCTCCGCAGGCATGAGCGAACCATATCCCAGACATGCCAAGTCGAACTCTAAGACTGTTGCTCGTACCTGTATACACCTCAGACCGCTTCACGCTGCTGTGTCGAAATGTGTGTGTGTGTGCGCCTGTTTCAGTTCGTCGGCGTCTGCCTGTGCATGTGTGTCTGCGCACCCCGTGTGCATGCGTCGTCTCCGTGTGTTCGCCTCCATGGTTGCAGCTCATCTCCAGCGATGGAGGGATTGGCACACCTGTGGTCACGCAGCGCTGCACAGACGGATGTGCACAATAGTGGATCACAGGTTAAATTCCTCCTAAAGGAGCGAAGGGAGCTCCTCTCCCAGTTTTGGCTCCAAGGCAGCGCCAGGCTTCACTGCCAAACACCACAGTGACGCCGCTGAGGCACAACGCTCCACCTTAAACCGGGCCTAGTCCCTGCTGCAGCCTCTCTGAGACCTCCTCTTGTTTATTTCTTCATATTTTTTTTCCCCTCACTCTTATCTCTACATCTCCTTGCACTTCTACAGCCTCCGTGTTCCTTTTCCTCTGGACAGTTCTTAGTTCTGTTTATCCTCCCTTAACACCATCAGCTGATGTAGGAGCAGCATGTCTGTTTTTAACGCCTGACCTTAGGTTTCTGTTTGGATAAATGATTTTAACTGAACATTTTATGTTTTGTTTTATTTTTTTATTAAAATGTTCATCCCTGTGTATGAATTTCTATTTTTTTTTCCTTCTCATGTATGTTTTTCTACTTGTTAGTGGAGGGAAACTGATAATACCCAAGGGAATATTTTACTTGAACTACTACTAATAGGCATCCAAAATGGTGAGGGGTTGGATTGAGGACGCTTGCATGAATCATGTGTTTCTCTGCTCTGTCTGAATGTCCATTGTCTGTGTGGTCTGTGTTGAGGACACTGCTTCAGGAATGCAAGGCTGAGGGGTTGGTATTGGGAGGGGGCTGTGGGGAAGGGCAGATATGTTCACCGAAGTCCTAATCATTAAATCTGATCAGTCCATTGCCTGAGCAAATGTCTGTGTGTTTTCACTGCTAGTGTAAAGGTTTCTGAGTTCAGCCGTAGCTCCAGGGAAGCTTTGAAGAAGTTTGGTTTATGTTTTTTTCAGCTGAAATTATAAATAGACCATGAGGATTTGACATTAACTGTTTGCGGTATACAATTCATTTACTGCCAGACCCCTGCTAAAGATTTTGATACTTCTATTTTTTACCAAATTTAGACTGACAAACCATTCATTTGATTAAATTAAACAATTTTTGTTAAACTACATTTATTCCGTTGGTTTAGCAAGATCGACAGCTGCTAAAGTTATCTATAAACTCCAACAATTGCCCTAAAATGAGGAGAATCTTTCAACTATCCCTGCATTTTTAAAAAAACTGACGTTTTTTTAATGAAGGGGGAAAATGAAAGATGAAGCCATGTAGAGGCATAGCAAATGTGTGGCAGTTCTGTTCAGAGGAATGAAGTTTGATTTGTTTTTGTTCATTATTTTGAATTATTTAAAGCATGGTGGTGGCAATATCATGCTGTGGAGAGGTTCTTTCTTCATTGTGCAGGAAGATTTCTTCATCTGTGAAGATTTTACTTTGTTCCTGGAGGTCGAGCTGTTGGCTCAGGTTCGGATACGTATTGTGGAAAACTCGTTGCTTCCATAACATCTTCCAGCATATTATTGCATTCAGAACAGGCTGCTTCTTCTCCTACAGCAGGCATCCCCAAACTCGGTCCTCGAGGGCCGCTGTCCTGCAGGTTTTAGATGTTTCTCTGCTCCAGCACAGCTGATTTTAATTGATAGTTGATTAACAGGCTTTTGCTCTACTGCAATCATCATAATCAGCTGTGCTAAAGCAGAGAGACCTCTAAAACCTGCAGGACAGCGGCCCTCGAGGACCGAGTTTGGGGATGCCTGTGTTACAGCAACAAACGGCTGGAAAGTAACAGTTTTGATCTTTCTTTAACTTTGTTTTGAAACTGGCCGAAGCTCAATAGACCCTCAGGCAGCCCCACCCACCAAAATCGTCCTGTTTCAGCAGCAATCAACACAAATGTTAAATAAGTTCTATTGTTTTCTTTTTTTGTTTTTGAGTTTCAATGAATGAAATTGCAGATATATTTATATTTGCGGATTTGATTTAACAGGACCATTTAAAGCTTGGGTTGGAGGTTCAGCATCCAGGAAGAGGACGACCCTCTACATATGGCTACAATTCAGTTTGAACCCAGGTTCCCAGTGTTAAAGTCAAAGAGTTAAACCGCTGCAGCCCAGAGGGATGTCAATGGTTTAGATGAAAGCATATTTCTGTTAGAAAGACCTAGTCAAATCTCATCGAGTCTGTGGTAACATTGACTTTTACAGATCCTCAACTTCCATCTGCCTGAGCTTGAGCTATTTCACTAAGAATGGGTAAAAACTTCCGTTTGTAGATGTGCTAAGTTGGTACAGAAAGTTAAAAGGTTATTTTGGGAGAAAAATAATTTTTTTACCAGAGGTATTAAGTGCATATGCAGGCTACAGTTTAAAAACAATGCCTTGTTTTGGGTTTACATCAGTTATTCATTGCTCTGTGTTGATCTATTACTAAATCCTAGTAAATGAGGTAACTTTGATATTAAAATTAAATGTCTGAAACTTTAATTGGTATTAATATGTTTCTTAAAAACGATCTAGGATATAATGAATTTAGTTTCCCTGTGGTGGAACTTTGAGGTTACACTTGGGCCTATTTCTCTTTATGAAAGGTCAGTAGGTCAGAATATACTGTAGGATCTATATTGAATCAGTCCACATAAATACTTCATATCAAGGACTTTAGAAAAATCTCTTAAAAGGTTCTGTTACTAAACTTAAACATTATACTCCACCTTCATCGCAACTGGTTGTTCTTCCATCACAAAGCTTCTCTTAAGGAATTAAACTGGAAAAGAGGGCTTTGTTCAGATGATGCTAAACAAATTGTGTAGGTGGGTTTATTACGAAACAGAGGAGGATGGATTAAAAACCACCTTATGTTAAAGTGCAGTGGAGAATCTGTGATGCTATGGGCCTGCTTCAAAATGCTCATGGAACCTTGAAATATCTAAACATTTAAAATAAATCTTTCCGGATTTGTTGCCAGAACACAAAACATGCCTTCACTTGGTCTCACAGTGGAATAACTGATAAGGACAAATAGCCAAATTGCAGAAATCTTTTCTCCAGAACCATAATTAACCTTCATCCATTACTCTTTCAGCTATCGGATCGTAGTCCAATAGAAACTTGTGAGGTGAGCTGAAGAAAATGGAGCATAAAGAAGGATCCAGGATTCTGGACAACCTAGAGAACTTAGCCGACCTTCTGAAATGTTGCCCAGTTAATCTTATATTGGCAAAAGAAGCTTCTACACAGTATTGATCTCGGGTGCCAATAAATGTGGCCAAAATCAAACTTCTCCCACGCTCTGTCATTAGGCTCTGGAGAGTCCTCGCTGACAGATCATTAGGAGATCACCCTCCTCAGCTGGAGATCCTGTTCTCTCCTGCCTTCTTGTAGGCGGCTCAGCCAAAACCAACCACAGCTGCTGCGATGTGGAGAATCCATCTTTGGAAGAAAGAAATCCATTTACTTCTTTTGGTTTCCCTCCGGTGGCTCGTTCCGCCTGTTTTCTCTCATTCCTGGAACCCAAACCTTTAAACTTCCACGGTAGTTTCTCCGTGCTTGGAGCAATCAGATTAGTATTCTCTGCTATGGGAAGCAGACTAGTCTGTGAATGTGTGTAACATACTTCTTTGTTTGATTGATTGTAACGTTTGGCAACCTGATAACGCTAAATCTTGTATTTCCCCTGTAGCTTAGCATCACTCTGATCAGACAACATTCTTGCATGTTTTAAAAGGTTTATTTTTACTCCATTCATATAAAAAAGCATCACCTCTCTTTGCTTTATATATTATTTCAAAGAGAATCAGGACCACTGTTTGTCTCACACAAGCTGCCTACTCAACCTTAGGGTGAGCTTGGATTAGAGATTCGGCCCACAAACATGTTGCCCTCTGTGCAGCTGCACGTTCCCACTGAAATGTATGTTGCTCTGCTCCACACGCACACACAGAATGGCTGCAAATTAAGCACGTTTTGTATATTTTTCCTAACTCACAGCCAATAAGTGCCACTTCCGTGCCTTTTTCAAGTGGAAAGCTGTGGCTTAAACCTGGCCTGGAGCTACTCCTCTGCTGCTAGTTCACTGAACCGTGCAGTGTTTGTCACAACCACACACACACCTATATATCACCATTGCCAATCAAAATTTGAAAATTAGATTCTGAGGCAAAATAAAATGCATGGCAGTCCTTCAGAAACACTGTAAACTAGTCTCCCTTTTCTCCCCACTGGCTGCAAAAGCTTTAAAGCAATAGAATCCCTGCTCAGTTAAGGCATATTACATTTATTTTGATCCGGAGCTCATGCACCCACCTTTCTAATGCCTCCCTGGGCAGTCGCCCATGTGACCCATATCAAAGGTTCCCACTGCCTCTCACAGGAACAAATGTGGTTTAGACTTTCAGATTCCTTTCTCTGTATTTGCACTCAGTAACACTTACAGGTACATTAACCAGCAGCCTTGTGTGAATTTGGCCATATTTGTGGGGGGGTATGTGAGTGTGTTTCCGCTCGGGGCTGTTTTTTTCTTTTTTCTCTCTCTGGGTGGTGTTTGAAAGAGATGGAGTGTGGATGTATAGTAGGGTGGAGCGTCACAGTCTGCGTCCCGTGTTCACTTCATTAGATTTTAAAAGGTCTGCTGGGAGATTGCAAGAGCCTTACACATCACACCACCTGCATTTCCCATTACACCCAGTTCACTCACAGTTACTCATATGAGACCACATCCGTCCTCGCTTTGGGGGCTCAGGCTGAACTTCTATCCACATGCTTTCTCTCCTCGCGATTTCAACACAAACAAACCATACCATGCCGCATAAACCCACTCGCATTTATTCACAGCCACAGATGTGCGCGGTGCCAAAACAAAGCATGTGGTCCTGTTCTTTTTTTTTTTTTTTTGGTTGTTTTTGCTCTAAGATTCATTTTTCATACAATAAATCAAACTGTCGTCACTCATTCCTGCACATACAAGCCAAGAAAATCTCTATTCACACTTAGTATACAAGTGCGTGCACACAGAAAAACATGCAGTGTTAATTGGAGCTGCATGTTGGACTGCATTGAACTGTGCATTGTTATCCACCTGGCCTGTGGTAAATAAACCCTTAAACATTCAGTTTGCAGAGAAGTTCTTATGGATCCATTAACCCTCCAGTCATGGATTGAGCTTAGCTCAATTAAACTTTGCCAACAAATCATATGGAACACCACACACCAAACAATAGCAGGGCAGGGTCCAGACTAGCAACAGCTTTAAAAGTCCTTCATGTGAGTCGGACTCATTATTCTTTTTTCCTTTCCTTTCTCCATTTTGGATGGGAGCCCAAACGTCCCTGCTCCAACAAAGTGCGGAGTGGTCTGCAGGTTTGACACCCTTCCGTCATCACACTGTCACTGGAGGGGATTTATTGTCACTGGTTGCACTGGATCCGGCTGTTGGAGGAGGGCATGGGGACTGGAGGTGTCTGTATCCCCCCTGGCTGTGGTCTAAAAAGGCTGCCGTAGGGGCCACAGGGTGGGCGTAGCCGATGTACTGTGGGTGCATGAACTGTGACTGGTGGGACATGATCTGGGTGGCCTGCTGGCAGTTAAGAACCGAGAAGTTAGTGGGCATGTTCACAAAGACGCTGGCGTCTGGGGGCAGACAGCAGGAGGCCTGAGCCCGCATCAGGGGAGCGGGACCAGTGCGGGTCCCAGCGGGAGGAGCCGAAGAGCTGGACGAGGTGGCCGTGCTGGACTGCAGAGATGATGAACCCCTGGAGCTGTTGGCCATCATTGGGATCGTTTCCAGGAGGCGTCCGCCGCTGGTCCCGCCTCCTGAGGCACCAGCTGAGGAGAGCTCCTGCTTGGGTCTGAGGCAGCGGCAGCAGCACACAGCGACCACAGAACCCACCAGGATGAAGGCCACAAACACAGATCCAACGATCAGGAAGGGCACATAGATGGGCACTGGAAGAAGACAACACAGGATTAGTAAATAACTCAGTTAAAGCCTTATCAGCTGCAAAATACTGACTTAAAATTAAAAACATTCACAAGAGCAATACCGTCCTGCCAAATTTTTTCTGTGTTTTGTGGTGTTATAGCCACAAACTTCAGGGTATTTCATGTGATAGACCAATACGAAGAGAAAAAAATGATAAAGTAAAACAAAAGAAAGGCAGGATTTTTCAACAATGTATTTCTAAATAAAAATAAGAAAAACATATAAAGTATTCAATCATTCTAGGTCAAAATGCACTATGATCTTTATCTTCTTTTGCCCCGGTCTGCAAATCAGTTCAATCTTGTTTCAAACTAAAATCCGTGAACACCAACTTCCTTGAGTCATAAATGAGCCATTCTAACTAGTGAATAATTCAAATCAAAATCACTGACCCTCTTTCCATCTCATCCTCTCTGCTGCCGCTATTACATATATTCTATTTGCCAAATACTTAACTTCTTGCTGATGAAAAAGCAATTCCACAGCATGACTACACCACCACCATGTTTGACTATGGCAGCCGTCCCCATATTGTGAGGCACACCCCCGGGGGTAGTTCAGTGTAACTACAGGGGGGGAAGGTAGAACTGAAAGAGTTAATGACCCATTTTTGGAAGGTATTTATACAAAAATGAAATATTCACCACGAAGTTAGGTTACACATTAAAATAAATGTTTTAAATTAAAAGTATGTCACTATAAAAGTAGCAATTTTGTGGGGGGGTCAAAAAAACTTTCCAGTGATTATAAGTGATTAAAAACCCCACCTATAACTGCTATCTTGTATGTATTTTGTAGGGATTTTATGGAGTTCTTTTTGGGATACAAAAACAGAATGATGGAATTTTTT